CTGGGGTATAGGCCAGAGGCTCAGGGGCGGTGAGAGGCTTCACCAGAGACAGAGTGGGGAAAAGAACAGGCAGATCGACAAAGTACACTGCTGAGGGGAGCAGTGGGCGGGTCAGGACAGGTCTGGCACACCATGTGGTCACCTCCGGGGCAGGCGGGAATCAAACTCATGCGGAAGCAGCTTTTGATTCTCAATGCTGTGCTTTAACCCGCTGTGCCACCAGGGAGGGCCCTATATAAACTTTTTAAAGATCAATTTACCAGATTCTTTCTAAGTACTGTTACTGATTAATACAAAATATCCTAAATTTAAATTTTATATTTAGTATAAAAAGTTTTGTGCTTTTTCCATCATTAAATTATTGAGTAATGTGATTACCAAATTGCAAAAACATCTAGCATAGTATTTCATGTGGAGAACAGATAACTTACTCCATAAAACTAGGCTCTCACAATGCAAAATTTAGGAGACAGGGACAAACTTAACTCAGAAGCCCTGATGTTAAAATGCCTAGTTTTGTGACTCATATGAAATCACTTAATCTAGTCGTTTTCAGCTTTTTGTATCAAGAGTAACACCCTTCCTTTCTATGAGATTTGCAGAGTAGGGAAGCAGCTAATGTGGTCATTAACTGACTGAAACAATGAAAGAATTAAGTATTAAATTACAATTCACTGGTTTTGCAACTCTTAGCCAATGATACTTACTTTACCTTTATAAACAGTGATTAAACTTGGGCAATAGCACTTCTAATTGTATTCAGGTACTGAGAGTGAATGATATAATAAGGCCTTTGATTGGCAACCTAGAAGATAATCTAAGTTTAATTATGGGTTCATTCTCTCTAAGAAAATAATCACTATAATTGTTGAAATGCTAAATTAATGAGAAATAAGCTTTATATTTCTCACTTAAACATTTAAAAACAGGAATATCTAACTAAAACTGGAATCAAATTTTAGTCACTTACCAATTGAATGATATACATCACTTTATTTGGAAAATGAAGAGAAGTAACTACCTTGATAGGGACTTTATGAGATTCAGGGTAATACGTATAAAACATAGCACAGGTTCTGTTGATGTTAACTAAAACTCACTTAGGAGCTCTAGGGAAAGTGGTGATAGTAAGTAACTGGAAACATTGACTCAGTCTTTATTTTAGACTTCTGTGAACTTTGTGTTTGATTGTGCTCACATGTTCCATTCAACAGAACATTTCTCAAATTAGGTCACATTTAGTAAAATATATAAATAGCCACTCCAAATAGAAAATTCCATACCTCATCTCAACCACATTTTATATTTTAGAAGTTCAGACTTTGAAATATGGTAAATAAAAGATAAGATTGGTTTTTTTTTTTTTTTAAAGATTTATTTATTTATGGATACAGAACTGGGTACAGGCCAGCGGTGCAGGGATGGTGAGAGGATTCACCAGAGACAGAGCGGGGAGCAGAACAGGCAGATAGATGAAGTACACTGCTGAGGGGAGCAGTGGGCAGGCCAGGAGAGGTCTGCCACACCATGTGGTCACCTCCAGGGCAGGTGGGGATCGAACTCATGTGGAAATGGCTTTAGCTTCTTAGTGCAGTGCTTTAACCTGCTGCACCACCAGGGAGGGCCCAAGATAAGATTGTTTTTGATGGTGGTGATAGAAGATGAGAAAGTGACTTAAGTGTGGAAAGGACCAAGAATTTAAGGCCTGTGCCTGAATTTTGGTATGTAGAATTTACTATTGTTACGCAGCTTTTATGTTGATAGACTTTTCCTATAGGAAAGGTAAATTTTTATTTTATTTTTTTACCAAGAGACCAGGTAATCATTGTTTTGTTAGACATGCATAATAATTTACCAAACTTGGAAAAATTGGGGTCTTTTTCCCTTCTATTCTAGTAGATATATATTTTAAATAATATAATAGTTTATTTTTACATCATTTTGTGCCTTTTTCCATCAGTTGTAATCCCCATGGGCTAACCACCACCAGATCACTCGTGTGACATCACTATAGTCCAGTGCACTTCCCTCCCCTAGTTGTTTTTGATCCCATTCCCCACTCCACCCCCGTAAAATGTCTCTGGTATATAGTTGTTCATTATTATTATTTTCTTGCCTGGTCCTTTATACTCCTGCTATGAGTGAAGCCATCCAGTATTTTTCCTTTCTTTCTGGCTTATTTCACTAAGCATAATCTTTTCCAGCTCCATCATGTTGCTACAAAAGGCATGTGTTTGTTTTTTTTTTTTTTTTTTGGTTGCTGAGTAATATTCCAGTGTGTATATGTACCACATCTTTTTAATCCAGTCATCTTCTAGTAGGTGTTTTTCAGTATTTAATTTTTTTCCCAGGCCATTCATATTATCTGATATCCAGTCTATTTAGCAAAACCTTTCTGGTTATAGAAAATTCATTTACTTCCTTATGACTAAAACAAAGGTAGATTTACTTTTTAGTATCCTGAATTAAAGATTTTGCTTATTTTAAGTGGAATACTCCTTAAATGTTTTTCTTCTTTCATTTCAGAGAGTTACAGTTTGAGGTTTTTTTTTTTCGTCTGTATTCCAATACATAGGTTCAAAGTACTTTAGAAATATCTTTCACAGAAACATTCATCCTAGGAACAGTTTGTTGGATGTCAAAGAAATAAAAGCGTACATTTTCAAATACGTTTATGACCAAATGTTATTCATAATATGATTTTGAAAGACGTATAAAGTGAACAAAAAAAGAATGACTTATATGATGTCCAACACATGACTGTGATTCATAATTATTTACATAATTAGAAATTTACTATATCCATTTTTTTATTAACTTGTGAGCAATAGTCATAAAACAAATGGTTTCTATATAGTTTTGCACTCTTGATTTGCACTGAGGTTTTTGAAATCCTATATGTTGTCTATTAAATTTGCTTTATGGTACTTTTCTCTCAGTGAAGAGTTAAGTGTGTTTATGAGAATTGTAAATACACTATGAATGATGACTAAAAATAAAATTCCAAATGGATTAAAGATTTAGTCATAAGGTTTGCCACAGTAAAATTGTAGAGGAAAACATCAGTGATATTTTCCATGAACCAACAATAAAGGTATTTTTTGAGACTTGACCCCTATGGCAGAAATAAACCATTGGAATTACCTCCAGTTACAACTACAGCTTTTATAAAGAGAAAACATAAAAAGATTAAAAAGACATCCCACTGAATAGTAGAAAATAGTCACACAGTGTATAATTAACAAGGGGTTAAAACCTCATACAATTTAACATTAATAAAACAACCCCATAACAAATGGGCAGCAGATATGAACAGAAAGTTAATCAAAGGGAATATTCAGGATGGCTATAGATATATAAAAGATATAGATTCATCATCACTTCCAAAAAGATATAGATTCATCACCACTTCCAATAAGAGAAATGCAGGTTAAAATCAGAATGAGATATACTCTAATACTAGTGAAAATAGCACATATTTAAAAAACTCTGGAGAGGATGTAAATAAAGAGGAATCTTATTACATTGCTGGTGGGAATGTAAGCTGGTATATCCATTATGGAAAATCATTTGGATTCATCTTAAAAATATCAAAATGGAAATATCACATGACCCAGCAGTCCTACTCTTGGGCATCTACCCAAACAACATGAAGTCATCAATACAAAAAATCTCTTTGGTCTAGTGTTTGTCACAGCGGTTTTTACAGTAGCATGAACTTGAACCTGAATGCTCATCAGTAGGTATTTGGATCAAGAATATGATACAGTCACAGAATATTTAGCCATAAAGAAAGAAGAAATATAATCATTTATAGCAAAATGAAAGGACAAATGTGGAATATCTATATACCTGATGATTTGCAGAATTCAAAAACTAGTGCATGTTAATAAACATAGATCTCTGAAATTAAGGAGAAGGGGGAAGGGCAAAAGGACAAAGTGATGATGGTGGCAAACAAAAGTAAAATAAAAAGTACATATGGTATCTTATAACCAGGGAAAGCCAAACTGGCAAATGGTAATTATGGAATTTCCCCTTAGGTTGGGTTTGTTAAGGAGTGACTTCATGGTGGCAAGGGAAGAGCAGAGGCAAAAGTTAGAGGCCTTACCTTTAAGTTTCATGTATGAAACAAGCTCTATTAATTAACCTTTGTGGTGTAAGAAACTGCCCCAATGTTTAGTAGTTTAAAACAATAACCATTTATTTAGCTCTTGTTTCTGTGAGTTAGTTGGCGATTTGGGCCTATATCAGCTGGGTGGCTTTTCTGCACTCATTCCTGTGTCTTATCAGCTACTGAGTGTTTGAGCTAGAATGGCTTCAAATGCATCAGCTTGTCCAAGTCATCTTCTACCAGGCTTCACATTGCAGCTTGGCAAAGCCCTAAGGCTTCTGAGACTAGATTCAAAACTGACTTTATAGCACCCTGCGTTCTCAAGTCTCAAGATCACCTACATTAAATGGGTCTGGATAGAGGGTCTGTCCCTATATTAGAGGAACTGCAAAGTTACATTACAACGAGGGGAATGATTACTTCCTTTGTAAACAGTCTACCATACCAAGCACAATGGTTTAATATTTGTAGTTCTATAAAAGTAACAGTTTTTAAGTGATATTTTCAGTCACCATTTACATATTGAGAAACCACAGTTCCCACTAAGTTGGCTATTTATTTTTATTAATTTGGATAGTAACTCTAATAACTATAAAGGTTTTGTTCTACTACTGAATTATTTGTCAAGACATAGGTACAATTATGGGTTATAATGTAAACTGTTTTCTTTGTTTCAAAATTAGATTGAAGCATAAAATATGTTCACTCTGTCCCCAAAAAGTATAAATTTGGTGTAAGAATATATTTATTTTCCTACAAATAGTCAAATTAATGATGTTGAATAAAAATTATGTTGAATAAATTATTAGAAATAAAATGCTATGGAGATTTAATTTTAAATATAGATATTTGGAATTTTAAGTTTGAACCTCTGTCTTATTTATAGGAACTGTGCCAGTGCCGACCTGGAGAGGGAAATTGTTCTTGTTGCAAGGAGTGTATGTTGTGTCTTGGCACCCTTTGGGATGAGTGCTGTGACTGCGTTGGTAAGTTGGTATGCAGGGAAAAAGTTCTTAATATTTCTTACCACATACCACAGAATCCTTGACTTTAAGAGACTCCAAAGAATGTAGATATATTTTATAATTATAGACTAGCATGTATATAAGACATAGTAGATCTATAGAACATACATACTGTATTTGCTTATATTGAAGAGTATTTACTTTTTACTTTTATAGAAAAAGATCTAGAAAGAAATTAAAAGGACTTGGGTAGTAGGAATAGAGGAATAATGGAGGAAATTTTACTTTTTTTATTAAAAAGTTTATTTTTACATCATTTTGCACATTTTTTTTCATCTCAATTGTAATCCCCATGGGTTTCCCATCACCAAATCACCCCTGTGCCACCACCATAGTCCCGTGCATTTCCCTCCCTCCCCCA